GAGGGGAGGGGAGGGGAGGAGAAGGCCACTGGAGCGTAGTTTTTTGCTTTTTGTTTTTTCCCTTCCCTTCCCTTCCCTTCCCCTCCCCTCCCCTCCCTTCCTCCAAATCCAAATTGTCACCTAAGAGACTTTGTACTAACAGGTCACTTACCCCATCATAACCTAGGCCTCTGAGAAGCTCCCTGCCTGCCTCCCCATCACCTCCTCCAGCTTCAGGGACCTCACGTCCTCACTATGAAATGTCCTGGCTGGGCGTGACGGCTCATGCCTGTAATCCCAGCAGTTTGGGAGGCCAAGTGGGCTGATCACCTGAGGTCAGGAGTTCAAGACTAGCCTGGCCAACACGGGGAAACCCCCACGTCTCCTAAAAATACAAAAATCAGCTGGTGACATGGTGGTGGCACACCTGTAGTCCCAGCTACTAAAGAGGCTGAGGCGTGAGAATCACTTGAGCCTAGGAGATGGAGGTTGCAGTGCACCAAGATCGCGCCATGGCACTCAAGCCTGGGTGAAAGCACAAGACTCCATAAATAAATGAATAAATAAATAAATAAAATGTCCTTATCTCTTTTGGCTTGCTCTGCTTGTTTATTGTCTGTCTATACAGACCAGAATGGAACCTCCAGGAGAGGGAGATGTCTTTGCCTGGGCCCCCTCTGTGTCACTGGCACCTAGCACAGCATGTGACATGAGAGAGATGATGAGGAAGCGTTTGTTGAGTGACTGGATAGTTGACTGGAAGTCTTGGAGGAGGCATAGCTGAGGCCCCAGGGATCATATATGTGTCCTAATAGCCAGAGCATGTGTGTTTTTGGACAATAGATGGATTAACATTTGGGTGAATACATGCACGGATGGATTAAAAACAATATATGGGCTGAGAGCTATGGCTCACGCCTGTAATCCCAGCACTTTGGGAGGCTGAGGCAGGAGGATCACCTGAGGTTAGGAGTTCAAGACCAGCCTGGCCAACATGGTGAAAACCCCCTTTCTACTAAAAATACAAAAGATTAGCCAGGTGTGGTGGCACACGCCTGTAATTCCAGCGACTCAGGAGGCTGAGGCAGGAGAATTGCTTGAACCCGGGAGGCGGAGCTTGCAGTGAGCCGAGATTGGGCCACTGCACTCTAGCCTGGGTGACAGAGCGAGACTTCGTCTCAAAAAAAAAAAAAAAAAAGAAACAAGAAAAATAGGTGTGTAATGGTAAACAGACATACGGATGATAAACAGATGGACAACCACATAGATAAATTGAGGGATAGATGGAAAGGTGAATTAATGAACAGGTATATGGGATGGGCTCGGTGACTTGTGCTTGTAATCCCAGGACTTTGGGAAGCTGAGGCAGGACAGCTGCTTGAGCCCAGAACTTGGAGACCAGCTTGGGCAATACAGGGAGACCGCATAAAAAACAAAACAAACAAACAAAAGAAACAAAAACCAAAAAAAACTTTTTTTTTTTTTTTT